CTATGCTTTCTTGTCACTTCTTCCTCCCTCCTTCCTTTGTAAACCCACGGAGTCTAAAAGCATCACTTTTATTTAAATAGGAACTCTCAGGGTCATCTCAGCAGATGTTCTGCTGGAGAGGGGTCAGGCTGCTTTCAACTCCGGCACTCCCACAGAAATTTTTTTGTTACTATTCTGTTATACTTGCTTATTAAAGCTGAGAAGAACTACAATTCAAATAAAGTCCACAGATAAATTCAATCATCTTTCTTGGACAAATACCAAAGTTTATATATATATACCTAATAGATATCTTTGGGTCTAAAATAAAAAGTCGAGATGATCTCTAAGGCTTTTCCAGCTCTCACATTTTATGGTCTACAAGTCCCATAATAGAATATAAATAAGGGATTGTAGTGGGTAAAAGTAAACAAATGCATTCTTAGAATGTGTAAACAATATTTAGAGATAAGTCTTCTTATAGGAATAAGGAATTTTTTTTTTAAAGATTTTATTTATTTGACAGAGAGAGACACAGCGAGAGAGGGAACACAAGTGGGGGGGGGAGGGAGAAGCAGGCTCCCTGCAGTGGGACTCGATCCCAGGACGCTGGGATCATGACCTGAGCCGAAGGCAGTCGCTTAACCGACTGAGCCACCCAGGCGCCCAGGAATAAGGAATTTAAAACAAGTTTAATTAACCTGTATTCTTTCATTACAGGTCAGTCAGAGCCATGTCAAAAACATGTCATTGTACATGTTAACATATGACAGGAAAAACACAGTTAGACATTTGTGGAATGTGTTCAATGATAAGATATGCTAATTACTTATTAAAGTTGCAAAAAAAATAATGAAGGTCTCTGCTATCATTGAAAGTTATAAACCACAACCAAGCACATGATGTAAATAATAGGTACAATTGAAGTTTGAAGAAAGGAGTAAGCCCAGAAGCTTTTGTTGGTAGGGAAGGAGGTGGGCTAGAATCTAAGGACTTGAGGGAATGCAGGATCCGTGGAGGCAGAGCAGAAGGAACAGGGCTTTTGAGGTGGGCCAAAGTGTAGAAGATGTGATTTCTGTGCACATGAAATCTATTGTCCTGGCTAAAGGGAGATATTTGCTTCTGGAAGCAGCAGAAATTAGGATTGGAAATAGAGCTTGCTTCAAATGATGGAAACCTTTTAATTCAAGGATAAAGTATTTGGGGTTGCCTTTCTAGACCAGCATTTCTCAAAGATTGATTCAAGGAACACTAGTCATACTCCTCGGCAAAGGATCTCATCATCAAATTTTCATAACAAAACTTACTCCTGTTTGGAGATTATCAGTATACATTAGCATGCTAAGTATCGTCCAGTTTAACTCAGCATGTCCTGAACTTATATTCTTATAAATTCCTTGTTTCAAGTTCTGTCAATGTCTTGAATACTTTAGGAAACTACTGTAGGTGATGGGAGTGCAAAATAGTTTGGGACAGGCTTGGGGACTCATTGACCGACTCATCTCTGCCCTTTGCCCTCCATGTTCAGATGCTCCTCCCAGCAATGGAATGTGGATGCTTGCAATGTCAGAATAGGAAGGAATTGATTGTGAAGGTCTGTTTCAGGTTTGGTGAGCATGATCACAGTAGGATGGCACTGCTATAACAAATACCACAGACTGGACAGTTTATAAACAACAGAAATTTATTTCTCCCAGGTCTAGAGGCTGGGAAGTTCAAGATTACAGTGCCAGCAGATTTGATATGGTGGCGGGTGATGGTCTACTTCCTGGTTCATAGATAGCACCTTCTTGCTGTGTCCTCATGTGGTGGGAGGGTCTAGGCAACTCTCTGGGAACCCTTTTATAAGGACACTAATCCCATTCATGAAGGCTCCACTCTCATGACCTAAGTACCTCCCCAAAGCCCCACTTCCTAATACCATCACATTAGGCATTAGAATTACAAAATATAAATTTGGCAGGGGGTGCAAACATTCAGACCTTAGCAGGTGGTCCAATGGAAGAAGCTAGTAAGTTGTTGAAGCAACTATAATGAAGCTTGGGATGGAGTCAGGCTTACAGATAGAAGTGGTGTCATCCATATGGAAGAGTTACTTGCTTGGATAAGTTCTCTAAGGAAGAAATGGTTGGGAGGAAATACTGAAAATCCAGGGAGATGATTATGAATCTATAATTCAGAACTGGTTGTTTTACTTTATTTTTTATTTTTTTATTTTTAAGATTTTATTTATTTATTTGACAGAGAGAGACACAGCGAGAGAGGGAACACAAGCAGGGGGAGTGGAAGAGGGAGAAGCAGACTTCCTGCAGAGCAGGGAGCCCGATGCAGGACTTGATCCCAGGACCCTGGGATCATGACCTGAGCCAAAGGCAGACGCTTAACGACTGAGCCACCCAGGCACCCCTGGTTGTTTTACTTTAACCTCAAGTCATAAAAGCATTCCCAGCACACCTGATACCATACAGTTGGCTTACTGTGTTTTCTTGCAACTTGAATATAAACTCCTTGAGCGCAGGAGTTTATTCATCACATATCCCAAACTCCAACAGTGCCTGGCATTCAGCAAATAGACGCTGAGTTGAATTGAACTTTGAATGCTGCATTTATTAGTTCATTCTTTTATTCACCAGGCACTGACGAGGTCCTTATTCCCAGTGTGACAGAAGCTGGGGATTTCACTCCCTGTCCCCAGGGGGCTCCAGGTGGAGTTTCCAGAGACAGGCGTGTGAAGAGAGCCCCACCGCACAGCATACTTCACGCAGTAGTAAGAGGGTGCTGCTCTGCAGCCTCCACAGCACGCCCTGTGATCAACTCTGTCGGGGGTGATCGGGGAACCAGATCTCAGAACAGGAGCTGAGTCCCGCAAATGATTTGTCTGGGGCATGGTGGCAAGAGCAACGGCCGGAAGACCATTCAGGAAGCTCTTGCAACAATCCAGCCCAGTCTGTGGTTATGGTTATGGTCTATGGTTATGGTTATAGTAGTTGGGGTGGAATGAGGCGAAATGGTTACATGCTGGATATTCAGCTATATTCTGGATATGTAGATTTTCCTCCTCTGGAATAGGAGGAAAGAAAGAGGGAAGTCAGTATGACTGCAGGATTTGGGGCTGGAAAGGGGACACTGCTATTCACTGAGGTGGGGGGACTGAGGAGGAGAGGCTCAAGAGGGAAGGGCAGGGATTTGGTTTAGACAGGTTAAGTTATGCCTAGTTGAATTCCACGTCTAAAGTTCGGGTAAGGGGTCCAGACTAAAGGTAATGGGTTTGGGATCCATAAGCACAAAGGTGGTCTTTTAAGCCTGGAGACCGACATCATCTGAGAAGTGACTGGATGGAGGAGACAGAGCCCTGGCCCTCCAACATTTAGGTGTTAGGAGAACATGTAGAAGACCAAGCACAGGAGGTTAGGATACAGCCAGGCAGGCAGAGGAGAACACCATGATCTTGTAGAAGTTGAGTAAATGAGGTATTTCAAGGAGATGCCATCTTGCATGCATCAGACCCAAATGTTTATATACAAGACTGCAAATACATATATTTACCTCACACAGGGTCATGATAGATTGGAGAGGATAGAGGGGAAACTGATACCTGTCACATTGTTGGGGGGTCCACATCTGAGGAGGGCCATGTAGCAGTAAATGTCAGATTTACAAGTTATGTACACTTTGAACCAACAATTCCATTCTTTCAGAGTTTATTCTACAAATACGATCACATACTTGGGGAAGGACAATATGTACAGAAATTTTTTTGCAATACTGAGAACAAGCTAAATGTTACACCCTAAATATTCAATAGGAGGGCCCTCGTTAAATGCATGGCTGGTAGATCTGCATAATAGAACATTATGCTACCATAAAAAAAGAATAAAATATAAACCTGTATATCTACATTCACTGTACCCACACATGCTACATACTACACATATACAAGGAAGATCTTATATATACATATAGGTTAAATATATATATATATATTTACATATAATAATATATATATAGTTTTCAAAGTCAGTGTGCTATTTGCTAATATTTGTTTTAAAAGGTGGGGTAAGAGAATAGGGCCCTGTATGCTTGTGAGGGCGTGAGACTCTCTGGGAGGATAAACAGCAGTTGCCCAATGGGAAGGGAGCAAGAAAACTGGGGGATGGAGCAAGCAAAGATAACTCTCTGTATACCAGTTTAGACTTGGTAAATTGCTGAGCCATATCACAATAATATCTGTTCAAAAATTTAGATAAGAAGAGGTACAAAAAGCAAGGGAAGCACGGACAGGGTAAGGTGACGAGGCCCGGTATGTCATGGTGATCGTGCCAAACTGTGGTAGAGAGGAAGGATCCAATTTAAGAGTGGCAATCCAAACAAAGGCTTCCTAGGTTTAAAAAAAACTAATCTTTGAGTATAATTGGGGTTGAAATGGGGAGGGTCCTGCTAACAGCATCATGGCTCCCGTGACCCCACCCCGCGTGCCTCACGTGGCCGCGTGTTGAGGGTGGTTGCCTGGCACTTGGATTCCACAAAGGCCTGAAAGTTATACAACTTCCTCCCACCTCAATTACCCAGAGGGAGCAGGCTGGCGGAGGAAGGAAAACCTCTCTCGTGCAGTTCATTCACAAAGTGTACTGCTGTGGATGTGGCATTCTGGGAATCTTGTCACCCATCTGGGTTTCAGGGATATATTTAAGAGACCCGGTTTATCTCTTCCACCTCATGTGGAACGGGACTTAGCAGCTCAGAAATCCATCTTAAAATAATTTGGCTTTTGTTAATGTCAGGATTGGAAAGAAGGCCAAGAAAAAGAGACTACCAACTGGAACTGTATGAAAAATAATTAGGCATTTCCATGTCTCCGTGGGGGTGATGGTGTAAATGCCCACGTGTCAGCAGCGCACACAAACTTCAGACCCTTGGAGTTTTGGGGCAGAGCATACAGCTTACAAAGGCTATATATTTTAACGAGTGCTATAATTAAATTAGTTGGAAAAATAATCAGATAACCGCATTTTGTTTTCAAGATACTTTGATGTGCCACGAGACACTTGCAGACCGTGCTTATTAAGGTACTTTTAATACTGTTGATAAATCATCCTCTTGAATGAGGTCCCAAATAGACTTGTGTTATATGGAATTCCACCTTCCAGAAAATAGCTCACTACACCTAATTTGGGAATTGGAAATAAAATATAAATATATATTTCTTTGGTCACCATTTGAAAGATCTTGCACTTTGCTTATGGTTTCTATTTTCAACACATTAAAAAAAATATTTTTGCACTGGATGTGTGTGTGAGACAAGAGCTTTTAAGGGCAGGAAAGTAAATTTTCAGTTGAAAAACTAATCTTTAAGTATATAAGTTTAAGATCAATATGTCTCTCTTATGAGTACTTTTTAAAATTATATTTGCTTCTAAAAATATTTAGCCTTGTGCTACATGGTGTATTTTAGATTCATATCACTTAGATCGGTAGAGAAAATCCCAACCAGCATGTTTGAAAGGTCACCTGCTTTATGTTTGGCAAGAAGAAATGACATTCATTTCATTCGAGGAGGAAATGATACCTTGTTTCTGACTGAGTCTCCCTTCCCTTCCAAGCAAAAGCCTCTTTTTCATATCTTAGTTATTTATTGTATGTATCATGTATTTTTATTTTTTTATTAACATATAATGTATTATTTGTTTCAGGGGTACAGGTCTGTGATTCATCAGTCTTACACAATTCATGGCGCTCACTATAGCACATACCCTCCCCAGTGTCCATCACCCAGCCACCCCATCCCTCCCACCTGCCTCCACTCCAGCAACCCTCAGTTTGTTTCCTGAGATTAAAAGTCTCTTATGGTTTGTCTCCCTCTCTGGTTTCATCTTGTTTCATTTTTCCCTCCCTTCCTCTATGATCCTCTGTCTTGTTTCTCAAATTCCTCATATCAGTGAGATCATATGATACTTGTCTTTCTCTGATTGATTTATTTCGCTCAGCATAATACCCTCCAGTTCCATCCATGTCGTTGCAAATGGCAAGATCTCATTCCTTTTGATGGCTGCATAATATTCCATTGTGTGTGTGTGTGTGTGTGTGTGTATATATATATATATATATATATATATATATATATATATATACCACATCTTCTTTATCCATTCATCTGTCGATGGACATCTTGGCTCTTTCCACAGTTTGGCTATTGTGGACATTGCTGCTATAAACATCAGGGTGCATGTACCCCTTCAGATCCCTACATTTGTATCTTTGGGGTAAATACCCAATAGTGCAATTGCTGGATCATAGGGTAGCTCTATTTTCAACTTTCTGAAGAACCTCTATACTGTTTTCCAGAGTGACTGCACCAGCTTGCATTCCCACCAACAGTGTAGGAGGGTTCCCCTTTCTCCGCATCCTCGCCAACATCTGTCGTTTCCTAACTTGTTAATTTTAGCCATTCTGACTGGTGTGAGGTGGTATCTCATTGAGGTTTTGACTTGGATTTCCCTGATGCCGAGTGATGTTGAGCACTTTTTCATGTGTCTGTTGACCATTTAGATGTTTTCTTTGCAGAAATGTCTATTCATGTCTTCTGCCCATTTCTTGATCAGATTATTTGTTCTCTGGGTGTGTATCATGTATTTTTAAATTGTTATTTTATTTTTATGGCTGTTTGGTTTTCATTTAAGTTTATTTGTGATAGGAAGCAGGAAACTTAATGGAAGCTCCACTACATCCCATTCTTTGCAGTTGTAGTAACATGCTTAGTTACTTTAATTATATCATCCTGGAAAATTGACACTCAGTTATTAATTTTTACAAAACATGATACTTAATCTGTCATCTTTACATTTTATTTTTGGTCATTAAGCTTTAAGCCCCTCCAAAAAGAAACTCTTTAAAATATTTAGGCTATAAAGTATTTTGAAATAATAATTTGAAAGTTATGTGAAACCAGTATCTACCAGTATAAAAAATCTTAGCTGCTTAGATTTTCAAGAGATGACATGGAAAGAAACAACCAATTTCCAAAATGTAGTTCTTAACATAAAAAAACAAATCATATACTTTTGGGTGGCCAGGCCAATTTTTAAAATTTAATATTACAGCTATAAATGGAAAGACTAAATGACTTATGCAGTCCCCACCGTGGACGCATGGCCCCGTTCTTTGTTCACATGGCCTGTCTTCCATTCCCTTAGACCAGGATGGGACTAAACTCTCATAGAAATCACCTGAGTATGGGTTTTCCATTTGTCCTTTCTCTGCTGCTGCACCACCAGCTAGTCATCTCCTTAATTCTCAAGTTCAGTACCACCAAGGAATTCGAGCAGATTTTCTTCTTGGTTAACATTCCTGAAGAAAAATAATTCACATCTTTTCCCTGGAAACAGAAACTAGGGGTCACAGTGTCAGGGCAACCTAATTGTAGGTTCTTTGGCACAGAGTAGCCAGGGCTCAAAGACAGTCCTTTTGGCAAAAGAGCGGTCACAGCGGGCCCAGCCAGGTCTGTGCATGAGACACGACCATTCACTGCTTTCTGGCTCATTTACCCCAGGCTTTGGTCCATGTTCCTGTGCACTTCATTGGGTTTGCGTAATATATGCTCACAGCCTTCAACCTTTAATGCCTTTATACACACCATGTATTTTGACTGTTAAATAAAATAGCCCATTGCAATTGTATAGCATGTCACCTTTTTCAAAGGACAGTTTACCTAGTTAGTATTGGTTTTCAAGTGAAGTTTCCTAAAACTTACAAAGATTTCCATTTCTTTGGCCAGAATTACTTGTTACCTCTGGTTTACTTGGGTGGCAACATCCTGGTAGAATCAAGGAATCCTGTTTCCTTCCACTACCTTCATAGTTGCCCCCAAATGTTATAAATGTTAGCCAGGCCACGCTTTCTTTGAGGCTCTTATAATGCCATTTAGTGTAAATCAGACAAGGAAATGGGACATTACTTGTAGGAAAAATACAAGATACTGTGAACAGCTACACATGGCGCTAAAATATACAGATTTATGAGTAAATGTGTTCATTTGGTATGTGAAATGAACACATTTGTGTTGGTAGAGTATTTGGAAGGTACTAGAAACCTACAGGGAAATACAACTTGTTCCTGAAAGAAGAAAAACGATCCCACTTCTTTCTCCTTGTTATTATCGGCCTGGCTTCTATTTTTGAATCCGAAGATTGTTTTCATGGTGGGACTTCTTGTCACTAAGCCGCGGTAGCGATGCATGCAAGAGCCTGCAACCCCCTCACTTCTCTCCAGTGCCTGTCTGGGAGCTCTCTCTAAGTCCACCTGCGATGCTCAGACCACAGAAGCTAAGAGCCATGTTTTGTAAGCACATTAGAACTCTTTTGTCTTAAATCTGCAATTTCAAAACCTCCAAATAATGACTTTGCAGATGGTCACAAAAGAACTTTTCTCAGGATCAACAAAATTCTAATTATTTTCAGAAGCATATATATATATATATATATATTTTTTTTTTACCTATACTTCATCGATGAGAGGTACTTGTGTTTTAGAGCTAAAAAGCCCTGTCTTTCAGCCCCTAATGCCCCAGGTGAATAAAGAATTTGCACAGAAAGCCGTCTTGGTGTGCATCTTCCCACGGTGCTGGCAGGGCTGTGTGTGGGGACAGCCCTCCGTGGTGTCTGCTGAGGGAAGGACAGCTGCAGTGCTCTGTTCTTTTTACTTTCTCAGGAGAAGCTGGTTTGGGTGGTTCTGCATCTTCTTACCCTTTTAAGAATCCTAAAGGCTTCACTTCAGCTAAAAGCCCACTGTGAGAGCTGCTTCTAAACACTGCGCCTATGTGAATGAACAGTCCCTCCCCAGAGCCGAGGGGCTTTCACTCTAAAATACCGGTAATGTAGACGGGCAGATAAAAGGCACACTGCTAATTGGTAAAGGAGGAACCTGCAAATATATCGGGTATTTACTTTGTGTAATCGCCTGTCAGTTTGGTTAACAGTGTAGTTAATAAGAAGGCAGGATGTAGAGCTAAGCTGTGTAGGCTAACACAAGAATAGCTAGCAGAAGTGGCTAGGTCCGGTTTCTAAGCAAAGGCATAGGAGGCACTGGCATCCTGAGGCCCCGCCTGCACGCGCGCCGGGGTGCGGCTGAGCTGCGCACCGGCTGCTGGTGCGCCCTGCGTCCCCAGTCCGTCCGCTACAGGCCTGCTGGGGAGAGGAGTTAAGCAGATAGCCTCTCCTGAATCAGAGTCAGGGTTCTTCCTGCTTCATTTAGAACACGAAGGCTAGCCGGGATCAAGGGCAGGAAATGATCAAGGGCTCCCTGTCCACCTTGATATGTAGCTTTCCTATAGAATTGCTTACAATTGTACAGTAGCTTCAAGGGTAATCAACGCTACCGTAGCGCGTATTTATTACCTGCTCATTTTCTATCCAGTCCCTTAAGTGAAAACACAGAATGGACTTACTCAGGTTTTCAAACATTTAAATTTGTCTGATTTTTTTATTTTTCGATTACTTTGTAAGATGAAACAATCCAGGGCTCCTGGGTGGCTCAGTCGTTAAGCGTCTGCCTTCGGCTCAGGTCATGATCCCAGGGTCCTGGGATCGAGCCCCACATCAAGCTCCCTGTTCCTTGGGAAGCCTGCTTCTCCCTCTCCCACTCCCCCTGCTTGTGTTCCCTCTCTCGCTGTCTCTTTGTGTCAAATACATAAATAAAATCTTAAAAAAAAAAAAAGATTAAAAAAAGAAACAATCCAGTTTTAAATTATCAGTTGTAATTTATTCTGTAAAATTTGGCATTATAATACATAGATCTTATACGCCTCCTAAATCTCCCATGCATAGGGTCTGTTTCCTAGTACAAAAATCCTACTTGGAGAGTGATCCTACAGAGTTTATTTTGGCCTTGACTTAACAAGCAGCAGTTGTTACATATTCTCACATCATCATTTCAATGCTGTTGCTCTATTTGCTGTACTGATGCCTCTAAACTCAGCCATTGTATTCCAGAACAAAACTATAAATATTTCTTTAGGAAAGAGTTGTCAGTTGATAATATAGGCACTAGTTCCCTTACCTCTCTTTGTTCCCCATACTTCTAGAAATCTAGTTTTTTACAGAACGATCAGTAACGGGTTTAAGGAATGGGCTTACAGATTTAAGCAGTGGGTTTTAGTAGAGCTCAACACTGCATATAGTCAAATGACCTACACATGGTGGGTAATCAATAAATGTTATTCTCTGACCGATTGCCCACCCAGGGCTCTTCCCAGTGCCAGTTAACACCCCGTCTCCACCCCCTCAAACTCTAATTGAAGAAAAGGAGTTTTAAAACAAAAACAACTTGGCTTCCTTGTGGGGGTTGGGGTGGGGGTAAGAGAGGTGCTAACTTAGTATCAAAAGTTTGGCTCATTAGATTTTCACCAGCTACTTTAAATCTCACTCTGCTCTTCAGACAGAATGGTATAATTTATGGACGGAGAAGAGGTATCTTAATAAGTGAAAGACTTTTTCATTGGGCTCATGTTTCTTTGCTGAAAATAATTTGGAAAATAGGGAGAAAGTTACTTAACATCTAACCCAGACAAGTTCTTTATACTCAATGTTGATAAAAAGAACCAAAAAGATCTCCTGTGACATGTTAGAGTAGATTTTCTGATAATTTAATATGAAGGGAATAATGCAATTTGCATCTAATATAGATTTCCTTGTTATGTATGGGCTGACCCAATTCAAATGCATAATCTCATTAGCTGTCCCTCTGTATTCCCTTAGAACTGGGTCAGTGCCTGTGCATTAGTCCTTACAGTGCTCTACCTCATGGCATAATTATTGGATATGCATAACCATAGTATGAGCTCATATTAAGGGTTGGGACTCTTGATTAGAAATAAGGCATGGTAGTTGGAAAACCATGGGGCACTGGGCTCAGACAAACCAGTATTCAAATCCTTCTTTCCAATTCCTTGGGAAAGTGCCTTAGCCTCTCTCCAACTTTCCTGTATAATACATGTAAAGCACCTGGCCAGTTGCCTTTTGCTTCCCTCAGTTGTGTGCCCTTAGTCCTTGCCCTGGGCTTTGCACATCACAGGGGAGCAGTGAAAGGTACAGTCGTGTTATATGGGCCAAGGTCAGAATCCTTTGATTTCCTTAAATAAAATCAGCATATGCTTTAAATCAGTGGACTAGCAGGTGTTTTCAAAGATCCATCTATAAGTTATTTATATAAAAAACTTTTTAAAGAAACCATTATGTTATGCAGCAAGCCAAATAATGAAATATATAACAGTGGGACTGATAGTCTTGGTTGCTTTTTAAAGTTTCGGGTTATATATATATTTTTTTCTTTTTGTCGGGTTTTGTATTTTCAACATAATGTTTCCAGTTTTCAACTTCTCACCTTTTTTGCATGCATTTTTTAAAGAATTTCATTAATAATATATTTTGTACTTCCCTATGGACTTTTATTGGGCTACTGGTATTTCAAGAGGGGAGAGAGAAGAGGGAGTCGTGTCATCTCACTTTTTAGTAAACATGTAAAATACGAGCTTTTTAGACACAGCCATGTATTCAGCTACCCTCATTTCTTTAAATGTTTCCATTTCTTCCTTGTCAGTATCATTTTTTTTTTTTAATCATTTTAACTGTGTTTCTTCTTCCTTGAGTCCTCAGTCCTCAGGGCAGCCTATCCTTTTACTGCCTCTGGCCCTGGGTTCGTCTTTTCTGCAGAAAGCTGCTTAAAATTTAGGGTAGCTGTTTGTCTAAGCTCAGCACTCGCTCAGAGACCGCATAGTTGTTTATCTCGTTTACAGAGGACTTCTCCCCCAGCACTTCTCTTGTGTGTCTTCTCTCTCCTGAATTCCAGTCATGAACTCTATCTGCCATACCTCAGTGATGCTTATAAGGCTAGAGTACCACCTGATGAACAGAATAGAATCATTATGAGTATTCATGACCCATCCTGAACTCCAGATCTTGCCAAAGTCCAGTATTAAATCTTAACAGAAAAGCTAGCACATCAAGGTCTCACCGCTCAAGCTTCAGCTGGCCATGTTCTAAGAAGTGGGTCTGAGTCATCACAGCGCTCTCCAGGGGGGTCTCCCAGATGTGGCCAGGGAAAAGGTGTGTGTGTGTGTGTGTGTGTCCATGCATGCATGCAATTAAATGCTTGCAAAAAACCTGTGTTTTAGAACAAGATTGCTACCTACTCATGGTTATTTTTTTTTTGTTTATTTTTAGGGGTATTTTGTCTTTTTGTTTTATTTGTTTGTTGCAGTATGCTAAGCCAAGCACATCTCAGCAGAAGTCAGAACTAGATATAGGGGATGCAGCCTGCTGTCTGAGCCAGGTCGCCAGCATTGTGGTGGAGGGGGTTTAGTTAATCAAGTTGGGATGTTCTCAAATACCATCACTGGTGAAAGAGAAGTTGGAGAAAAGGGGAGTGGTTAGTGTGGTAGTTTTCTAAGCGATGTAATGAATTTTACCATTTTTTCTTGAAACCAGTTATGTTGTTAAGCCTTTAGCAAGACAGGAATTAGAACCATCATTCCTGTTCAGTGAGGGGAGAAAAAAAAGAAGAAAAAAGACTAAATTGGCAGCTTTTACTATATTTATCATATGTGTCAGCTTTTGTTTACTATTTAGAGATACTAAGAAATAAAGTTGCTGTCAATCACAGTATAAAGAGTTGCTTTGAAATGGTATTGCATAGAAAGGGAGTTAGAATGCCCAACTGAACAGTACGTGTGCACTGAGGAACACAGGAAATGTCTATAAAGATTATGACTGCTCCACATTATTTGTAGCAGCAAATGTTTTGAAACAACCCAGTGTCCATCAGCGGGGACTAGTTAAATAAATGCTGGTTCATCTACTCAAGGAGTCCATGTAAGCTGTTAAAAAAAAAAAAAAGTGAGGATGAGCTCTCCACGCTGACATGGAGTGATCTCCATCCACTATGTACCAAGGTACAGAACACTGTACTTCTGAACAGTGTACAGAAAACAAAAATCCAAGTACAGAAATTTCTTGTGCAAGAAAGGGAAGATCATGGATATACGTACACAGTTGCTTATATATTTTTTAAAGATTTTATTTATTTATTTGTCAGAGAGAGAGAGAGAGAGCACAAGCAGGGAGAGCGGCAGGCAGAGGGAGAAGCAGGCTCACCTCTGAGCAAGGAGCCCGATGTGAGACTCTATTCCTGGACCCTGGGATCATGACCTGAGCCGAAGGCGACCCTTACCAACAAAGCCACCCAGGCATTCCCCACGGTTGCTTAGATTTTTCAAGGAGAAACAATACAGGAGAAAGTTAATTAAAAACTACAAAAAATGTATAGGGGGAGGGAGGGATCAGGGTGCAAGATACCAGGAGGAAGCAAGACCTACCTAAGCACACTTTGAGATGAGGTTCGGCTTTGGAAATATGTAAAGCTTTGACATAATCATAAAACAGATTAAATCCAAAAAAGCACAGGTCATGGAAAATCTTAATTCCTAATCATATCAACATTGTCTTCTAAGGTCAGTCACAATAATTCTTTTCTCCACTGACCTTAGAAGACAATATTCTTACTGTACATTCTTAATAAGATGCTCTCTGAGGACCCTCCCCCCAAATGCAGATTTTAAATTTGATTCAGCAGTCTTACTATTAATAGCTAGGTTGATGTGGTTAGGAATTAAGATTTTCCACCTAAGAGATACAAAATAAGCATAAAATTTTAAAAAATATGTAAAAACCTTGTACACTTAAATTTGAATTAGAAGTATTAGCAGGGCACCTGGGGTGGTACAGTGGACTGTTGGTTTTAACTCCGGTCATGATCTCAGGGTCCTGGGATTGAGTCCTGCATTGGGCTCCACACTCAGCAGGGATTCTGCTTAAGAGATTCTCTCTCTCTCCCTTTGTTCCTCCCGCCTGCACTCATGCTCAAGCACGTGCATTCTCCCTCTCTCTCAAATAAATAAATCTTAAAAAAAAAAAAATAGAAGTATTAGCAAGATCTTATTCCCTTTAAAAAAAAAAGTGTCGGGGCACCTGGGTGGCTCAGTTGGTTAAGCGACTGCCTTCGGCTCAGGTCATGATCCTGGAGTCCCGGGATCGAGTCTCACATCAGGCTCCCTGCTCAGCAGGGAGTCTGCTTCTCCCTCTGACCCTCCCCCCTCTCATGCTCTCTCTATCTCATTCTCTCTCTCAAATAAATAAATAAAATCTTAAAAAAAAAAGTGTCTGATATCTGTCCAATGAAAAGGCCTAAAAAACAATGAAAACTCAGTAAAAATGGGCACTGCTAACACCCAGATTGTGGTCTTTAAATATCATTCTCGACAAAAAAACCCACAGGTCCTTAGAGAAATGCCTGGCTCCAGGGCCGAGGTAGAAAATGTACTTGGTAAGTCTAGAACACCTTGTGCCAAAAGGCTGATTAGTCATTTCAAAAGGACATAGGAACCAGTCTGAAGGGTTCCCATTGGCCAGAGGTGGGATCATTGACTGCAGTTTAATATATAAAATTCCATGAGTTGTCACGGTATTAAAACCGCAAAAGAGGGGTGCCTGAGTGGCTCAGTCATTAAGCATCTGCCTTCGGCTCAGGTCATGATCCCAGGTCCTGGGATCGAGCCCCGCATCAGGCTTCCTGCTCCATGGGAAGCCTGCTTCTCTCCCTCTCCCACTCCCCCTGCTTGTGTGCCCTCTCTCGCTGTGTCTCCCTCTGTCAAATAAATAAATAAAATCTTTAAAAAATAAATAAATGATGTAATGTATGGTGATTAACATAACATAATTAAAAATAAATAAATAAAAATAAAACAGCAAATGAACCATCATACTACTCCTGCATTATTGCACTGTTGTTGCATAGGGTGCTTCTTTGAGACTATTTTGAACAACAATAGGGAATATACATTTGATTATGTAAATTATGTTCAAGAGTCATAATGGAAATGCAGAGTTAGAGTTCAGGGTCTCTGTCCCAGTCCGCGCCCCTTCGCCGTAGGCTTGCTGTCTGACCTCAGACTGACTCTCTGTGTGACAGGAAGTATAGCAGCACTGAAATCTGCCTTCTGAGGTTCCAAAGACCTGGGTTCTAATCCCAGCTCTTCCTTTTGCTTCCTCCACAGCCGTCCATCTCTCATGCTTGCCAAGCCTCAGATTCCTCCTCTCTAAAATAAGAATGGGAATGATTATATGTGCCCTGTTCGCCCTTCAAAGACCATGAGGAATGATAGCTGACCTCTAAGATGCCTTCCGCCTTGCTGGGACCATAAATTGTCAGGGTTCCCCCCATCAGTTATTACATTCTTAAAGAGGCACATTTCTGAAATTCCCCTGGAGACTGGAATTCTTTGAGCTATACGTAGAAACAGAAGTGTTGCCCGGTCATTAGCCCAGGTTGGACGTGGAAGTAAACTGCTTTGTTTCTTGCAGCCATGGAATTCCATGAGCACTTACACAGCATCGGCACCAAGGAAGGCTTGAAGGAACGAAAGCTACAAAAAGCAGTGGAGAGCTTTACCTGGAATATCACCATCTTAAAGGTACGTGGCCAAGCTGGTTCTGATGCTGGTGATGCTGCATCAGCCTTTGGCAGCACGTTTCCCCCATGTGGTAGAACAGGTCTTGCCTTGTGCGTTGTCAGACAGGCCAGCGCCGTCCCAGCCGTCCCAGGAGAACTCGGCCCTCAGCAGAGCCCGCAGGCACGGTCGCTGGGCCGCGTGGCTTGGAGAGCACAGGGGACTCCTGTGGTTGGCACATTGTGGATTCTGACAGCAGGGTGAGGACCTTGGCTTCTCTCCTTGAAGCATTGTCAAGTTTATAAATGCCAGTTGCTGTCTGTGAAATAGGCAGTGTGATTATGAGGGATGATTGAGAATTTAGATTCTAATTACTCAAATGTCATTTAACACTTTCAAGTATAATCACAGCCTTAATATTAATATGATCCCAGGACGAAAATAGGAAAGAATTGTGCAGGACATAATTAAAACCCATATGTAAAGGAATTGCCATTGGAAAGAAATTTTCCTTTAAGGAAGAAACTGTTTGTCTTCCTCCCTCTCCCTTCCTTTCTTCCTTCCTTCCTCAGTATGGCTATTTTTTAAATGTTTATTATTTTTTATTATAAAAGTAATACATTCTTGTTGAAACTGTCAAAATAGAAATAAGCAAAGATGAACATGGTCCCACCGTTCAGAGGCAATTACCACTGGCCTTTGGCCATACATTCTCCCTGCCTTTTTCTCTGTGCTATGTATCATGTGACATGATTTTTAAAATAATGCTATGTATGTACCTTGAAACCTTTTTGTCTCAGTGGTCTTTACTTTTCTTCTTTTCCATGTTTGGGAACTTGAATAATCATAACACAGAAACATTATTTCACTCTGGATCTTGGACAGCTAAATCTTAAAATTACTCTCTGGTATTCACCCTCCAAACTTTCTGCTCCCTTGAAGTCAAAACAGTAAAGACGTTATCACAGCTTCCTCTTTTAATTTCCTTGTTCCTCCTCAAATTAAAAGATCCATCCCTGCAGCAGACAACAGTTTTCTGATTTGACTTAATAAAAAGTCAACCTTCCAAAGCGAACCAACCTGCATTTTATCACGTTAAACCTCTACTCGTTTTTATAATTAAAATCATTTTCTTGACTTCTTAAAACACTTCCCTTCCTTCACATGTGCTTTCTTTTGTAATCTTTCAATCTTCTGCTTAGAAGTTAACTTTGATAGTTTGCAATTCAGTAAACAGCAGATAGAAGAATTTACAAGGAAAAGGAATTTGGCTTTATAACTTGCTGACTCATTCCCACCCGGAGGTGGGGGTACACAACAAATTTCCTGCAAATCTCAGGGGAAAAGTAGCACAGTAGTTTAAGCCCTGTGATAGAACAAATGCTCATTTTGCTTTCATTTTATTATAGGCAAAACCATACTTACAGACCAAACTTTCACTTGTCAACTATCCTTGCTACTCCTTTGTGGTCTAGGAAGCAGAAGCCTGGGCATCACCTGGGAGCTTGTTCAAAATGCAGACTCCCAAGCCCCACCCCAGATCTACTGAATCAGAATCTGCATTTTTACAAGCTCCCAGGGGATTC